GGAGACCTCTGAAGAAGAGGCTGATGAGTAGTTTCAATTGATTTCGTACGATGTGGCTTAATTGACTTACACAAATGGCTGGAGGGTAGTGAAAGGTGGGCGGCTCGCTATGATGGGCGACTCGCTATGCATATACGTTATGTTGCGAATCCAAGATTTAACCTGAAGGAATCATGTCGACGAGAGCATCGGAGAAGTCGAGAAAATGGTGTTTGATTTTCTGTATTTCTCACCAAGTAGGACGCTTGTTTCTGCTCAATAGCATGTAGTGAACTAGCTTGAACAGATCTGAGCTGCACAGGCTCCAGTACTAGAGGCACTCTGAACAGAGGTGGCCGGTCTAGTCAACATACATCTCAGCACTCGTCTTGAAAAGCCTCAGCCTGTCCGTAATCCGTTGAAGTGAGGGGCCGCTCTTCCTTTCCGTCCACACCAAACGGGTTTCGTCCTAGAACCATCTCCAAAATGATGCAAAAAGCCACAAAGCCGAACACCATCGTCAACAATCCAAGAAGTTGCGTGACAAGCCATCCCCAGTCCCCGTTGATGGCAACCCAGACAGGGAAGCAGATGAACCCATAAATGACGCCAACCGACATTGGCGTCAAAAACATGACACCGACAACCTTCCAGCCGACAAGCACAGACCGGTAGCGATAGGCCAAAGCCGTCGCAAGGAACACGCCAATGGAGTTGGGTGCCATCCACCACCAAGGAAACATGTTCAAAATGACCAACGGCTGGTTTCCGTAGTAATGATAGACGCCCATCGGCAGCAGAATCTCCTCCACGACGAGGTCCGAAATCATCATCAGGCCGAGGAACCACCACAGTGTCTTCGTAGAAACGTTGTTGACGAGGAGCTGGAGGTTGATCTGCATCAACGAGCCGTAGCCGAACCAAATCGGAATCCAGGGCGGCATATCGCGGCCGATCAGGTGGAAGGAGGCGTTTTCTGCTGGCCATGGATAGTAGATGCAGCCGAGGACGTCGACGAATGTCTCTGGGAAGGCAATCATGGCGCCGCTGAGAGGTAAGATCAGCGGGAGGAGGCTGCGCTGTTTCTGGGCGTCGCGTGCGCCGAGGGCCACGGCTGAGAGCCCGAAGAGGGTCATTACTATCATGCAGATGATGTTGTTGGTTTTAGAGTATGGAAGGTCGGTTGGTGGAGTGGGAAGGTCGAATTTGGCGTCAACATCGTAGTCGGGACTTCCTCTCTTGGGCAAGGGGTGGTGGAACGCGCCGATGAACACCAGCGCTGCCGTAATGACGATTCCGACAGCTAACGCTGAAGTTCGGCGAGGATCCGCCATGATGGAGTAAGTAAGGAAAGAAGTGCCGTCTTTGACAAAACATGAGCAAAAAGGTAAGATGTTGTCGTGAGATCCCGCCTGATTGTGGCTATGTTGGCGATTGGGGGTCGGTCAATACGTCATATTCTTAGCCGTTGGATCACTGAGCGAAGCGCTTTCGACGTTTATATAGAATATCCCAGTTTCCGAGCGGAGGCCTCGGTAAGTGGAACGACTTTGAAACAAAGCCATCGCCACCAAGAAGACATGAGGTTGAGTAAGCATCACATTGGAACAGGCAGCTCGGCGCCGAGAGGCGGGCCACGATCCACAACATGCCGTCATTCCAGACCCACCCCGCGTCCGCAAAGACCCGTGATCCGGACGTCAAAGATCGTGTTAAGTCTTACTTATTCGTTTACTTAGTTTAATTCTCTGCTATGGACTGAATTGATTCGCACAGCTAGCCAAACGGAGGCAGCATCAATACTAAGTATCGCACTGCGCACTGGCAGATGTTGATTCGTACTCGTTGGATCAGATGCCGTTTCACTGTCCATTTCGGATTCCCCGGGCGTATAAAGAGCTATTAACAGGCTGGTCAGAAGCATGCATTCATCTGAACGACAAGAGATGCAAAAGGAAATGGGAGCTCATGCGGAAATGCCGCGTGGTGTTTGCTCTCTTTTGAGGGAGATGACTAGGAAACGCGAGGAGGAAAGAGGGCAAGTCTGGCCAAAGAAAAGCATGAACTCACGATCAACGGTAGAACAGGCGGTACTGATCGTTGGAGTCGTTTGGCGGCTATTGACTCCTTCCAGAGTCTGTACGGCCTTTTCCAGAAGCGCGCATTTCTCTTCCAAAGCATCCCGCAGCCTCACTCTCTCTTCCCAGCTCCCGGCAGGTCTGGAGGGTTTATCAACGGCTCTCGTCGCGACTTCTTATTCCTTTCTGGCTCTGGGAATCTTTCGTCCCCCTTCTTGTCGGATGTCCGCAATGCTACAGGTAGCACAGATAGTAGTACCATGTTCGAACTGAGATTGGACATGATCGCGAAAGTAGGCGCTTAGGGAACCAGAGGCTACCCGTGACATCCACTTGTGGAGGATAGATCTTGCGGCAGATTCGGTTTCCTCCAGCAAGTGCCACCCTAATTTGAAAGTATGACCTCGGCAAACATTATGAGTCACCGCTACGACCTGTTGAGCGTCCTTGCGACTCAAGGTCGGGCGAACGACGAAAATAGCCATCGTTCGGTCCCCGGCTCCGATTAGATTTTCATGAAGAAGGACGTTGGTCTTTGAACTTCTTAGAGTTGGCAGATCGTCGTGGGCGACTAAGGTGACGCTGCGGGAATTCCGTGCGTGGTCCAGCAGATTGGCTCTAGTGATTTTGTAGTTTGTGGAATTGGTACTGTCTCTGCCGACAATGCCGCTCGCGTAAATGAGTGGGGGAGGCCACTCAGGAAAAACTGCAATGGTCAGTGGTTTCAGACTCTCATGTTGGATTTGAACTCTGAGAATGTCTTGAACTGTGGCATCCCCGAATCCATTCAATTCCACAATGGTTCTGCCAATGAGAAACTCCAGTAGCGGACGCCAATAACAATCGGTGGACACCAAGTCGTCTCTGAGTGCACTCATTTTCATCTTGTCGTACTCGGCCCTGTTTGATGCTGGAAGAACTGATACTTTGATGGAGGCCATCTCTGATGGCGGATCTGGCCGATTAATGATGAATTCAATTAAAAAACGGTGGTTGAAATACTCTGGAGGTAGGGAGATACCAGTCAAGGCTTGGACGACGGTGCGCTTCGCTGAATCTTTGTCGCCGCACAGAACTACCATCGGTACGCTGACGTGCTCGCCCAAGCCCTCGACAAAGAGATCTTGTAGGGTATGGGTTACTCGCTGTTCATTTTCATGGTTGGAAGACATTTTGAGGCGCTGATGGTAGCGAATAACTGACTGCCTGGGACTTTGCTTAGAATAACGGGAAGATGTGTCTTAGATGTGTCGCTAGCGTGTGTGGTTGTTTGAGTGATGTTGAACAATCCCCGATAGATTTTGGTCTAAAGCTTAGTAAAAAGGAATGCCGATGCGGCTAATGAGATGGGAAATCATCTGGGGCGACAACACATCTTGAGGCTTCAAAGCTCTAACCGAAACGATACGTTAAGACCAACAACACCAAAGTACATGTCGTAGGTAAGCAAGTAGCGTCATTGTAGTTTCTCCCCTCTCAATCTGAGACGAATCGCGAGCCAAGAATAGGACGATAAGCGGGAGGCCCTCCAAACTGTATGTTGAGAGTTTCTGCCCGAGTTTAATCACAACTGCGGGGTGCACTCGAAGGTTCTTTGACATGCGACTCCGAGCCGCAGGATGCCATGCTGTTTACCGTGCATCGGGGGTGAAAGCCATGGCTTCTCGCAGTATTAAAGAATGATGTAGATACTCGCTTTCTGGTGCTAATCAGCATGGATAGTTTGCTCGCTCCTGCCGAACGCCAGGTCCCACCGCGATGGATCGATGGCTACACCTGCCTACACATGCGGAAATCAGCGGCGCACCAACGAAAGTTTACAGGATAATCGCTCTGGCGGGCGTCGAATGTTTCAAGGTATTTCACTCATCAGGCGAGCAATCCTCGTCACCAGTGAAAACAAGGACAGACACACTAGTTGAGATTCTGTGAATGAATTCGTTAAAGGTCGGTGGGCACGGACCATCGGTCAAATGCCGGCCGGGCTTTCGGCTCGGGCGGCAATGCACGAGATAGGTTACGGACAATCTCTTCTAATAGCCCGACTAGGTAAGCAGATGGTACAAAACGACAAGTTTACGTTTATAATTTTTTCATGGTTTTGTGCTAGAGCAGAGTCCACTGGCCGGGCATCAATCTCATATTTCCCGTGGTTTATCCGAATTTCCAACGGTGTATCTCCGCTCTTCGGCTATTCCCCGGCTTGAAGGAAGTTTTATCTCCTCTTTTTTTCGGGCATAACTGAAGCTGAAATCATTTGCCCTGACTTTAGTTGACTCTTGTCTCGTTCACAGCACGCTCTCGGATCAATAATCAAGTTAGTCGGGGTGGGAGGTTTCGCGATGTGGTGGGCCTCCCGCCGTGGGGCCGGAACTCAATTCCTTGAGCACGAGTCTCAATATACTTTCCGATCTGGCAGGCCTCCCGCTGGAGGCAGACGACTTGCTGTATTTGTTGGACATTCACCGAAAGCTTAGTCTACAAAAGCAGAACCATGATCATCCTTTTTGTACTGCACTCTAGCAGTGAAGTCGGTCAATGGCTCTGGTTCTAGCTTCCCACTGAGATTCACTTCAAGGATGCAGTGCAAGATCGCATGTTGAATCTTTCCTTCCGCGTCACACACACTCTTCTTGCCTGCTTTCCCCCAAAGTTTACTCATAATCTCATATCTAGTTTTCAATCACTTCTGAAGTACATGTAGTTCCGCATGGGAATTTGTTGCTGAGGTCTCGCTCTGGAATCTATTAGCGCCCAAGACGCGTCAGACCTTCGCTGCCGGCGAGATTTGATGCATGACGTCAACTGTTGACGTTAAAGAGGAAATCATATCGTGGTTTCCGCACCCTTCCTCCTCCATTCCTCAAAAACGCCCTTTAGACGATGCCATTTGCTTCCTCGAACTCGTCTGCTGACTTAACATTATCTGAAATCATCTTCCCAAAGCACATCACAATGCCATCATCAGGGGAAGAAAAGAATGAGCTGCTCAAGACGCTGGTCGGCCTTCATGTTCAAGGGTTGAGTCAGCACATTGACCTCCCAAGGGTGGTTCTTCTTGGAAGCAGCGACTCAGCAAAACAGACGGTAATCATGGCGCTGACTGGCTTTTCCCTACCGAAAGAGTACTTAGGCAACGAACTCACCATGGAATTCATTCTGACACCTTCGAAGAGAACCTCTATCAAAATGTCAATCATTCCTGCATACAGAGGGTGCATAGATGAGGAAGTGTTCATACCTGCTCTCGAAGATGAAGTAGGTGATGAAGACTTGGACGGGGACGCCCTATTCGAGTTTCTACTCGGTCGACTGATTCTGCAACTAAGAAAATTTGGAGAAGACGACCTCACAATAAAAGACGTCATTAGAGTCGAGATTCAACGGCCTTGCCCCGGATCAATGGTCATTCTGGACCTTCCTCAATGGCCCGATCGTGACGCCAGCGACCGGTTCGTTCATCAATTGGCGAAGTCTCGCAACACAATTCTGGTCGCCCATGACGATATCTCAACTCTCAAGTCGTCCAAGCTGAGCAGACTACTTGAAAAACGGAAGAGTTTTCGTGATGGCGGCAATCGAACAATGGCAGTTTTTGTGGCACGTGCAGCATATTTGACAACACGTGATGCTCTTCAACTCAGAGCAGTTGTTCAAAACCGCTGTCGTGGTCATGATTTCAGCTTCGGTTGGTTTATCTTGGAAGACAAAGAAGAAAAAGAGACATGCGTTCATAGACCCTACACGCTGGACGGATTCAACTTTCGCTGCAGGCACCCAGAAACTGAGGACGTGCGCCGTTTGTCTCAGAGTCTAGGTTTCTTTAGCCACGCCAAGTCGAAACTGGAACTCGACGGACTCCATGATGTTTCGAAGATTCTTGGAGAAATTGAAATGGCGCTGCATAGCGGAAGAGAGAAACGTATGACAGGTGGGCAAACATCTGGCTAGACCTTTCTGGCGATACATTACTTACTAAACGTGCTTTTAGCGAAGAAGATGAAACTTCTTCAAGAGGCTTTGCTATCACTGAAGAGATTTGACCATCAAGATACCAATCCGTCTCCAAGTTCCGCTTCCTCAACTACAGAGAGTAAGTTGGTTCTTACTTTTTAATCTGTACAATGCCCCTACAGTACGAGATAGAGAGTCACGTCTGATATGACAGCTAACACGTCAATAAGCAGTAATTTACACACCCGAAGAAAGTTTGTCGGGGGATATGGAAGTCCATGATGACAGCCCAAGAATGTTGACACCGATACCAACGCGAAGGGGAAAGGTTGAGTGGTGATGGAGATACTTCCAACCTTTAATATCATGCTTGTTATCCGGGATAGGTTGTGACAGGGGTGCTATTGACTTTTATGAAGTGGGTTTATCAAGATATCTCTTCTCAAATTTCTACGACTCGTTGACAGGCATGCCTTTTCGGTTTTGTGTCAATCGAGTATCCAAGCTGCTTTGCTTCACGTTCATTTCAAGACTTGCCTTATGATTGTGTTTGCCCACTGCTGAGTGGAATTTCCACGTTTGATCCTGCACAGGTTCAGATGTAGTTGGCGCTGAGGTACAAGCGTACCTCTGTCAAGGATGCTCATTCAACAAGTTGAGCACTAAAACCACTACCACACTTCGGAAGTGCGCTTCTAAATATACCAATCAAGACCAAATTCTTTGCTCAACTTCCCATCATCGATTCATTCTCTCTGACTAGTTTCCTGATGTTCTTTGCCGTCATAAATGCTAGTGGGTGACTCATCGTGTCCTGATCCCCATCAACCTGAGCGGCGACACTGGTGTCTACTGCAGCTGATCGTCCTGGTAGTACAGGCAGATGGGTGTGTGGATCGTACGTTGTACCCTTGGGCAAAGCCTTAGTCTGAACCGTCGCCATCCCCTCTTTGAAAAGACTTTCCGGTGGTCCCTTTGTGATCAAATTCTTCCCAAACACCATCGGAGTTGTCCCAGTTGCGATATCCACGCCTTTGATTACGCGTTCTTGTATTCGGCGTGCGGCTTCTGGCTGGCTAAAGGCAGAATCGTGCCCCGCAAAGTAAAGTCGCGTGAACGAAAATCCATCTGCTTGCTTCACCTGGCCAGGAACCTGCCCGTCACTGTTCGCTGACAGATCCACAAACCCCGCAGAAGCCCAGTTCGCGGCCCCGACTTCAGCCGCCACCATTTGAGCGCCGATCATGTTGCTATCGTAGTCGGCATCGCCGGTGAACAGCGCGACGGTGACGCCTTGTTGGAGGAGATTCTTCATAGACTGGACGACAAGCGCACCCGTGCGACTGTCATCGCCAGTAGAGCTGAACCTGATACTGGTCTGTACTGAGGCCACTGTGAAGTTGTTCGAGGCTCCGATGGCTGCTTGGACGTCGGCTCGGTTGAGATATGCGATGAAGTTCGGTGCCGGGTAGGGGGCTGGTGACAGCAATCGTATGTCGTTCTCGAATCGGCCAGTATTGACGTCCCAAAACTCTTCGACGTTCTTTATGCAAAAGGCGTCGGCATCCGCACATACCTTGTCTGTAGGGTTGCTATTACATGCTGTCTGTTTATCCTGACAGCCTCCAGCGCCAAACATGTTGGTGAAAAGCTTTTGACGGAGGGTGTCGTTGAACGGCATGAGATCGTATGGATTACCGGGTGACACTGAGTAGTTGAAATACGCACCAAACTGTACGCGACTATCCATGAACCCGTCTTCAATAGAAATGGATTTCAGGGGTACGTTGACGGTATCGGGTACGCCGAGCTGGTTTTGCAGCATGATGTGGTCAGCAAAGATCGGTGCGTAGTGACCGCCGTACGATTGACCTGTGATATGCACACCGTTTGCTGTGTATTGAGGAAAGGCGCCCATGATTCCTTGCATCACCTGATAGAACACCTTGGCAGCCTCTTCCGTTGAGTTCGGCGTCAGAGAGAGATCCATGGAGGAGTACGTGCCGCACATCGGATCCGCTAACGTGCACTGCTGTGGAATAATCTCTGCGGTCTTAGGGTTGATAGTGCCGTTGACCAGTTTAGTGAACGAGAAGCCGACAGTTGCTGGCTGGTCGATGAACAGCATGTTGCTAATGGCTGACCAGGAGTTTGGATTGTTCACCACCTTTCCACTCGCATCAATAGTACAAGGCCCGAGCTCGAGGAAGAGTCCTCCCATGGACGAAGCCCCCGGGCCCCCATCCAGTCTGATCGTCATCGGTGTGGAGGTCGCATTCTGCTTCGCTTCAATTAGGTAGAAGTAAATGTGCTGAGTCGGGCTGACATCCACGTAGCCGGCAAAGGATTTGACATTCGGGTCGGTCTCGCATATTCCGTTGGGTACTTGCTTAAATCGAACAGTGGTTCCTGCCGCTCCTTTGACCGTCTTGAGGTCTGCTGGCTGGGCGACAAATTGCCCGCGAGCAGAAAGAGTCAGCAAAACGATGCCGAAAAGTATTGACGCGAACATTTCGCAGCGATGTTCTATAAGAACTTTTCAGTGATCGACAAATTGGATGACTGGAGTTGGGTTACTAGCATCTGCATGAATGCAAGGCCATGGCCGTGGAAGTAAGTGGGATGCTGTTTCTATGTCGAATCTCGTTCGATTCTAGACTTGGAGTTAGATACCTTGAGTCATTTCAATCTATCTCGGTTTCGGTTCAGCCCATTTTCTCCGAGGTGGAGCGACGGACTTGATTGGGTTGGTTCCAAACGAACCAGAAACACTAGGCTACTTTCTAACAACCGCAGCATGTTTAATCGAACTGCAGGCGCGTTTCTCCGCGAATGTTCTTCTACTAACTTGACAATCTCTTGAGGCAAAGTTTTCCTTTTGTCTTCACGGATGGCTCCTTAGTTTGACGGCCTCTTATTGGAGTCCGATCCAGAGTTTGCTCATATCTTACTGCCATCCGAGCCAGATTTCGACTGACGTGACCCCACCTTCTCCGAAGACTTCAAATTCTGAACAAGGCTGATGCCCGCACTCTAGCTGCAAGTCTTGTGCAGGGGCCAATGACTTTGAGGCTGAGTATCGGATCTTGCGGCACACTTTAAACGCATTAAGCAATCGGGACTCGGCACATCTTCTGTGGTTCCTGTCGTGTCTACTGTTTCTGGCTTTATGGGCCTAGTCCCGCTAGTAATGCGGAAAGTAACAGTTCTCATTGTATAATCACGAATATTTCCCCGGGTCGCAAACTCAATATGAGTGTTATCGCTCGCCAGGCGAAAGCTTTTAATTTACTCAGACTTTCAGGTGATACAACAACCAGCAGTTGCCTGTTAGGTTCCTGTGTAGTAAGTGAAGAGCCCTACTTGACCTGAAAGTAGGTTTGGAACAAGGTTGCGGATCATCATTGCTTCCAGAAGAAGGTTCTCGGAAGCTCTGCACGGTATGTATGATGGCGCCGACACCATGAGACTGAAACGACACACCTGATTCGGACTCTGAAACTCGGACACAAACTCCGATTTTGAAGGCACAAAATGTAGAACGACTTTTCCTCGGAGCACTCCATATTTGTGCCTGCTCATAATTGCTTCCCATAATGCCGCATTTTGAACTGCGACTGCAGTGTTCTTATCCTCACGATGGCAGTCTTGAGTATCTAAATTGAATTTATACATGAAGATTTCTTGTGAATGACTTACTCGTTTATTTGGGTTCTTAAGAGGATCATTGGCATAGTCTGTTTCCTTTGCGACCGCATTGCTCCAATCGATGATCTCATGTTTCTCGGGACCCGCCGTGGTCTTGGCATGCCTTTTCCGTCGGATGAACTTAAGCACTCGAAGGCTCTTGGCGATGTGACGCGGAACCATTACATCAGCAGCTCAACCAGAGATCCGATTAACTCCACATCTCCAAAAGCTCGCAGATAGATGAACCGACTGAAGCACGTCGGACGACTCCCGATCACCGATGGACTTTGACTTACACACACCACTGCATCGGAGTCTTAATGGCCCGATGGACGGTCACACCACAACCCCTGCCCGTCGCCTTATTCCCCGCTCTCGTGTCGATCGCGGGGGTACCGGGACCGGACACACAACGACGACGGTCCACCGATTGCGGGGAAACAACGGAAATATGCATATTTTGACCCAGACTTTGCTTCTTCTCCCCCGCTGCCCAGCTTTTCGATTCCAAGCATCACCGCATAAACGAGGACTTTTGCGTCGCCGATGCTACTCAGAGTCGTCATATCCGCCCACGTGAACCCCGCGATCGAGGGACACTCCGCAGTCAGGTTGGACGACCGGTGCAAATGAGGGGCAGTTGGGATTCTTTTGGTTCTTGGCGCAGCGACATGATCGTGACATGCGCCCAGCCGGAGCCGTGAGAGTGCCCGGGAATGCTGATCCTTTCCGTCAGGATTCTCTGCCGAGGCGTTAGTAAGAGTTCCTCTTTCTGGAACACTAAAGAACTGGGCAATGGGAACCAGAGAGGCTATGGGGCGCGTTATAAAGGTCGCGCGGCGGCTGTTGGCGGCAGCCAGGTCCTAGGAGAGCCACGGCACCAGTAGGTCTTCCAAGTCGCTCGCGAGAGCTCATTTGTGATCATCATGGACCTCATCTCAGGCCTAGGCTTCCCGGGTGCGTTGCCGGACTGGACAAATCTGAATGTCTTGCACCGCAATACGCTTGCTCCACGTGCACACTTCTACTCCTACGCCAGCGAGGACGCGGCTCTCTCTTTCGACCGCTACCAGAGCGAGTACCTCAGTCTCAATGGCACCTGGAAGTTTCACTACGATCAAAGCCCCTTCGAGGCTCCCATCTGGGAAACCGCGAACACGACTTCCTGGGACGACATCGAGGTCCCGGGGATGTGGCAGCGCCAGGGCTACGGCTACCCTCACTACACCAACATCGATTACCCCTTCCCGGTGACCCCGCCCAACGTCTCGTACGTGAACCCCACCGGATCGTACTGGAGAGAGTTCGAGATCCCCGAGAACTGGGACGAGGACCAGCAGATCCGTCTCCGCTTTGAAGGCGTCGACAGCGCGTTCCATGTCTGGGTCAACGGCGAGGAGGTCGGCTACAGCCAAGGAAGCCGTAACTCCCACGAATTCGACATCACGGACTATCTCACCCCTGGCGAAGCCAACACCCTCGCTGCACGCGTGTACCAATGGTCCGATGGATCCTACATCGAGGATCAAGACCAATGGTGGCTTTCCGGTATCTTCAGAGACGTCTACCTCATACCGTTCCCTCGCTCCTCCATTGTGGATTACCAGGTCAACACCTACATCGATAACACCTTCTCAAGCGGCACCATCAGGCTCAACACGACAATCCAGGGAGACCAAGGCAATCTGACCGTCAAACTTCTCTCCCCAGCCGGCGACACCCTCGACGACTGGACCGGCGCATCGTCTTCCATCTACGAGCACACTCTCGCAGGCGACGACTTTCACCTCTGGTCCGCCGAGACGCCCGCCCTCTACACCCTCCTGGTCACCTTCAACGGTCGCACCATCAGCCAGCGCGTCGGCCTCCGCCGCGTCGAGGTCGTCGGCTCGAACTTCCACGTCAACGGCAAGCCCATCACCATCTACGGCGTCAACCGCCACGAACACAACGCCATATCAGGCCGCACCGTGCCGTACGCCAACATGCGCGCCGACCTCATCCGTATGAAGCGCTCCAACATCAACACCATCCGCACCTCCCACCAGCCGCCGCACCCGGACTTCTTCGACGTCGCCGACGAGCTCGGCTTTTACCTCATCTCCGAGGCGGACCTCGAGTGCCACGGCTTTGGCAAGGTCGAGGAGACGGACGAGAAGGCGGCCGAGTGGACGTCGGATAACCCCGAGTGGGAAGCGGCGTATATCGACAGGGCGCACGCGCTAGTTGAGAGGTTCAAGAACCACGCGTCCGTCATTATTTGGTCGCTGGGCAATGAGTGCTTCTACGGGAGGAACTTGGACGCTATGACGACATGGATCAGGGAGCGCGACCCTAGCAGGATAATTCACTATGAGCCGGATCGGAATGCCACGTCGGTGGATATGTACAGCCAGATGTACAAGTCTCCGACGAGTGTTCGTGAGTGGGTTGGTAACCACACGGACAAGCCCTTCATTCTCTGTGAATACGCACAGTAAGTCGATTCTTCAAATCTTTTGAATTATGCTAACAAGGCCCTAGTGCAATGGGCAATGGACCCGGCGGCCTGAAGGAATACATCGAACTCTTCCGCTCGGAGCCCCTCGTCCAGGGCGGTCTCGTCTGGGAATGGAGCAATCACGGTCTTCTGAAGAAAGAGGGAGACATTGAGTACTACGCCTACGGCGGAGACTTTGGCGACGAGCCCAACGACGCCGACTTCATCATGGACGGCCTCACTCTCTCCGACCACACCCCCATGCCCTCGTTGATCGAGTACGCCAAGGCCATCCAGCCCATCACCGTGGTCCTCTCAGAAGACGGTCACCAAATGGTTGTCACAAACCACTACGACTTCCTCAACGTCAACTGGCTCGACGCCTCGTGGCACATCATCCAAGACTGCCAGAACCCGACATCCTCGCGTCCCCTCGATCTGGGAAGCATCCCCGCCGGCGAACAACGCGTCCTCGCCCTCCCAACCGGCAACTCGACGCTCTCAGGCGAAGCCTGGATCACCGTCGAGTTCGCGCTCAAGAACGACACAATCTGGGCTGAAAAGGGGCACATCATTGCCTGGGACCAACTCCATGTCAACGCCCCAGCCGCAACCGCAAACCGCACCGCGCGCGCCGCCCTCCCCACCCGCCAATCCTCCTCCGCGCTCAACTTCACCCAAGAAAGGACCCACCTCAAAGCCTCCACATCCTCCTCCGCCTTCGACTTCAACCTCCTCCAGGGCAACGTATCCTGGACCGTCAACGATACCCCCATCTTCACCCGCGGCCCGGAGCTCTACTTCTACCGCGCCCAGACCCAAAACGACGCCTCGCAATGGGGCGACGGGCCCCTCGTCTGGGACGACGCGCGCCTCGGTAGCATGCACACTCAAGTCCGCGACGTCTCCTGGCAAGACACCTCCGTCGGGTTAGTCGTCCACTACCGCGTCCGCGTCGCCCCCAAAGCGCTCGAATGGGGCGTCGAGGCATCCCTGACCTACACCGTCTCCCCCGCCGGCAGTCTCAGCGTGCACGCGCGCGGCGACTTCGTCGGTAACAACACGCCCGAGGTCGTTCCGCGCATCGGCCTCATGGCGGTGCTCCCTGCCGACTTCGACGCGGTGTCGTGGTTCGGCCGCGGGCCGGGCGAGAACTACAAGGACACGAAGCAGGGCTGCCGCGTGGGCCGGTACGAGGCGAGCGTGGACGAGCTGTTTACGTACTATGACTACCCGCAGGAGAACGGCAACCGGGAGGATTTGCGGTGGGTGAGGCTCGGCAACGGGGATGTGACGCTCGACGCGCGGCGGGCTGAGGGGGAGGATGTGTTCAGTTTTACGGCGAGGCGGTATATGCCGTTCGACCTGGACGACGCGAAGCACCCGCATGACTTGGAGCCGTTTGACATGACGATTTTGAATCTGGATTATGATAATCATGGAATTGGGTCGGCGACAGTTGGGCCGAGGCCGTTCGAGGAGTATAAGTGCTACTCCAAGGCTTTCGACTTTACGTTTGAGTTGAGTGTCGAGTAGACGCAGGATTGCCCGTTACATAATTCCTACCAGATGTCAAGAGCAAGAGGTTTCGGAGGGCTTAATTATCATGGACGAAAGGCAGGAAATATTCCAGGGGAGAGCATGATGTATCCATGGTGTTCGATCTCTCTTCTAATGCAATTCTATGAACCTTAGCGGCGATACTCCTCTTAGGCCTTGTGCGTAGGCACCCGCGAAACACGAGCCCTACCAAATCCCAGTTCCGTAACTCCAAATGAACGTGCAGTCCCAAACCAAATGGTGTAACCAGACACATTCTCGTGCCTATCAGAGTCCGCTGATGTACCAATCCATCTCAGATAAGAAGCCTTCATGCGAGGTTAGAAGCCAATTTGCTGACTCGAGTGAGCCAAAGCCCCGATGCGACTTGCAAAAACAGATCCTCCTACTCCAATAGCTCATTAGTAATCATCACTGTCCGAATCTTGGGTCGATCAAGTACCTTGTGCGGACATGCCGTTTGGTCTGGAAGCTGCGGCAGCAGCACTCTTTGCGCGTTTCTTTTGCCTACGCTTCTCCTTCCTCTGACGATTCTTCTTGGAGCGGCGTTGCTCATGTTCTTCGGGCTCAGAGGCGGGGCCCGTGCCCTCAAAAAAAAAGCTTGCCGAGTCCTGAGTTGAGGCCGCGTACGGGTCTCTCATAAGGAGCATCTCTTCCTCCGTGACGGGGGTGGCCGGCAAAGACTTCAAGACCTCTTCGCGGGGGCGCTTGAACTGGAGGACGCGATCTTCGAACGTGCGGATAGTATCATCTGAGATGCGAAGAGGGGGGAGGGGGTTGGAGTTGGCCTCGTCGGGGAACGTGTCAGCCACCTCGCGCGCCGGGTAGATGTGCTCGTCGGGATCGACCTGCTCGAATCCGTTGCGGACTATGGCCTCCCAGTCGTCGGGGTACTGTTCGGCGAGCGTCAGGTCCAGATCTTCACCTTTGGAATCGTAGTCCTCTGCGTCTGTGTCTTCGCCTCCGCCGTCTGCACGACTCTTCTTAAACATCTCCTTCTTCTTTTGTCGTGCAGGTACCGTCCCATCTAGGATGACGTTGTCTTCCCAGTGATGGATCGTGAAATCGATGCCCGTGAGATATGCTAGTCGCTGGACGAACGGGACGCATTTTCCGGGCTTATGAGGCACTCCACACGGTTCACGGGTAAGGTGAATATCGAAGCGAGGTGCCAAACCGTTCTTGCGAAGCCAGGTTTTGAGGTCCTTGAGGTCTGTCATGGTGATGCGCTTAATTTTGCGATCGCCGAAGACATAGAGCTGGAGCATCGCGTGAATTGCATATGCCGAGAGCTTCTTCTCAGTATGACCCGCAGCCCAATTGCCGACATCGTCCTCGGTAGGCCTCTTGCTGGCGCCGTCGTATGGGGAGCCCATCTTGAGGCCCAGAAGCTCCGCAATTTGTTTAACGCGCTTAGTCCACCTCGGGTGATGAAGAACAAAGTTTTCATCCTCGGGCCGGGCTAGGTCGAACATGTTCCCGGATAGCGCCAGCTTCAACACCTGAAGGTCCCCATGTATGTCGCGATTGGCCAGGAAGGCACAAGTCTTGAGACTGAACAGGTGCTTGACTCGATGAAACGATCTCTCTGGGGATGTGTACTCGGCAACACCCACGGACTGCAGGACTTTGAAGGATAGTCCCGCTTGACGATACAGGTAAAGACCGTCGGTGACTTCCCACACTGCGTTTTCCGTGCCGGCTTCCACCGCATCTGGGCGCAATTCTCCATCGCCTACTTGTATCATCGCGTCGAATCTGGCGTTGCTTCCTTCCATCCTCTTGAAGAAGAAAACCTTCTCTTGTGGTTTGTCGATAGGAATGATGGGGAGGTTATCGAAAATGACAGGCTCATCGAATTCCTCGGTCTTGATGATGCGGTCGGGAGTATCAAGCTCCATCGGGTCGACCTGCTGAGACTCGGGCTGCGCGTCCATCTTGTCGGATTAATTTGAATAATGAGAATTGGCTGAGTGGTTGTGCTTTGGGAGTTGCTGAGGTTCGCGGAGACGAGTTGAGTTGGTGAATGGTGGTTTGGAGCGGGACGTTGTGAACAAAGAAAAGAGCCACCGGCGGGAGAAGAACCGGAGGATATCGGCGATCTCAATGACGGAAGGAGCGCGGATGGCAATATAGCCTGGACGAAAGAGGGAGAGCAGTGGAAGGTGGTGAGGACTTCAAATCTGAGGGTGTGGGGTCGAACGAGTGAAACGCAGAAAGGGTAGAAGGTGACAACAGCGACCAGAAACTTGATGTTTTCCGGCGAAGGTGCTGATTGTTGTGAGGCGGTGGGTGAGAACGGGAAAAAAAATAGAGAGAGGTTGAGGTGGTGGAGATGTCGCCGAGAAAGTAGACGTCCAGATCGCAGTAGTGGCCCAATCCAATGAGGAAGTCGCGGCGCAGAGAGAACAGGAGAAAGTCCCAGAAAGGAGAGAGCGCCTGCGTCTATCAGAAGTAGACTAGTCTCGAGTTACGTTGAGGATAGTTGATTGAGAAGAGAATGTGGGTAGGTGAAGAGGTCGACGTCGAAGACCAGGTGCTGTCGCCGAGAAAGCAGGAAACCCACAACCCAACTAGGAAGTCGCGAAGTGAAAGATGGAGGAGAAGGAAGCGAAGAATGAGAGAGAGGCGAGAGGGCGTCCGTCAGGCTTCAGCAGGCTGGTGTGATGCGTTGCTCTCTGGTGGAAGGTTGACTGAGTCGAGAGGAGAGTGTGAGGGGGAAGAAGTGGAGGTGGAGGTGGTATCGCGGGAAGCTCTCAAATATCGAGATCGCAGGAAGGATCTATTCAAACAGGAAGGTGCCTCAGACAGAGAGTTCCATAAGTTGGTGATGCAGACGAAGAGATGGTGCGTTTCAGAACGGTCGGTCGAGAGCAACTGATCTCGCGATGTCTTGGTGGGGTTGAAGGATGCGGTCTCCGGGCGTCGAAGGCGGCTTCGAGGAAGGCAACGCGGGGCAAGAAGGAATCGGGAAGGCGCAATGGGACGAAATCCAATGAGTTCGAGCAGCTCGCAAGCGCTGGTGTTGAGTTCGAGTCGACGAAGCCGGTACTGCATTCAACGGAACGGACCACGACAAGCGCCTCGAACTTGGCACGATGGGAGGGCCCTACGGACTTGACAAAGCTGGACGTGTATCACAATGACAGCGATAGCTAGCGGCAGACGCCGGCCGCAACACGCCCTCACCCACCGACAGCACGAACGAACCCGAAAGGCCAACAGGCACAGAAGCAACAGGCATGCAAGGCGCCATTCGTATCAAACACCGCACGATAGGAACACCAACACACCGAGAAGACAGCAAGACATGCAAGATGGAAAGGCAAGCGAGCGGGGGGGACTTGAATTTGGGATATCCGGAAGGAAAGGCATTTTCCAACCAAGCAGAATAAAGTCATTACTCTCTTCTCAATCGTGAAAACATCCATTTTCAGACGCCTAAAACCCCCAGTGAAATGCCCATTTTTGATTGTCCGTGAAAGCCCAGAAAAGCCCTTGCCCTTGATTTTTTATTGCGACAGTACTTCGTCTAGAGGAATAATCTACTCGTCATCCTCCTCGTCCTCCTCAGCCTCGGCGGTGGTCTGGGCGATACCTGGTGAAGCAAGTCAGTATAAACGAAGCAAAGGTGCATGCGACATGAGAGGGGACAAGACGTACGGTCCAAGTCACGCTGGCCGGACTGGGTGATGCGGCGGCCACCCTTCTCCTCGTCCTGCTCAAGGACGCCAATCTTCTCGAGGGCCTGGCAGATCTTGCGGTCGACGGAGCCGGAGGCGTCGACGTGGTGGCTGGGGCGGACGCCGCGGTTCTTGGCGGAGCCGTGGACCTTGCGGAGGCGGCCGACACCGACGGTCTTGCGGAGGTAGATGTGGCGGGCGACGGAGGCGGCGCGCACGTAGAACCAGTCAATGTCCTGGGGAGGGAGCTCCTTGGCGGGACCGGTCTTGACGATGTCGACCCAACCTGGCAAGACGTGTGGTTAGCCAGCTATCGTTCTTCGTCGCCCCATACGTGGATGAGACGGTGGGGAGGGAAAGGAAAAACATACCGGGAATGGGCAGCTTGCCCTGACGCTTCAGGAACGCAGCGTAGGCGTTGATGAACTTTTGCGCCTGTCGCGGGAGAAAAAAGGACCAATTAGCAATGATTCCGTCATCAGAAGTCTTTCGACTCCCTCACGCCTGCTCCATTGTTCCTCTCATGTGTTGTAGTTGGCCGTCTTCCGCCTTCGTTCCCGTGATGCACAAGTTCCTCGCCGCGCAGACTGCCCTTCCGAATGACCAGGTCTTCCTCCCAACCATCGCACCATCAAACATGCCCACCCCCTCGTGGTCAGCGTCTCCGCGACACCCCGAAGGAGGCATGGCGAGAGGATCAGGTCGGGAGCCCGTCGTAATCGGCCGTCTTTTCAGATGCGGCAGTGGCAGTCGTGCGCGGCGTCATCGAAACACACACACATCTCGGTCGGAAGGACGGAACAACGGCTGATATCTTTTCGAGATTCGGAGATCGGGCTTTTCTTCAAGGGTAGCGGTTGGAACCTACATCGACATCGCGGACAGAGACACCACCGGCCATTTTTGCGGTATTGATTGGGTTGGGTTGGGAGGGGGAGGGACTGGTACGGCGCTGGGCGTTTGGGAAAAAAGTTGGGCGATGAAGTCAGTCGGATCAGCAAACTCGATTTCGCGATCACGGAAAAAAAGTTTGGTGGTTTGGAAAATTGCGATTCGCGGGGGCAGGGTTGGAAAGCCCTTGTGGTCCGTGCATGGCATCACGTGGACGCAGCTGGTTTGGCGAATCAGAAGTGGATTAGGTAAGACGGCATGCGCTAACCACAATTAGATGCGGCTTCGAGGTGGGGTAGGTTCTGCAGATTCGGGGCCGACGTGAGAGGTCGAAGATTCATGTTGTCAAGACCAGGGACTCGAATTTGATGTTGAGAGCCTTCTCACTAACGCTGTGATTGTCACATGTTACTCCTGCATAGTTGAGACCTGGATGGACACCTTCAATGCCACTACTCACTCAACGCTCAGCGCGGCATCACCAGTCACAATAGTTGAACGGATGCATCAAGTCTCGAATCAATAATCATTATTACGTGCCCTGAAGGCAGGATGCAGAACTCCTGCCCATGCAAAAATCCAAAATGCCTACGACGGGAATCCCTCAAACCATACAGCAGAGCAGGCTCACAAGACCTAGGTATCATTCTCAATCCCAATCCCATACATATCCCATGTCCCGTATCTATCCAATTTCAACGTCTAGTTCAGTTCATTTCAGTGCAACGGCTTTCACTACCAGTTATGCTCCTAGGCCCAGTTGGCCAGGACAGCCATCACGCAGGCGCCGAGGGCAACGCAGCCGAAAGCAAAGAGCTGGATCTTGAGCGGAGAGTTGCGCATCTGGGGGTTGAACATAAACTCGTGCGCCAGCAGCTCGACGAGACCCGTGTACATGAGGATTCCGGCGCTGATAGAGTCGAAGATGCCATTAACGAGAGTTTGCGTCTCGGCGCTGCTGGGCCTGGCGGCAAGACCGACGGCGATGGCGACGGGGGTCGAGAGTCCGTACAAGCAGGCGAGGATGTGCGGCCACCACTTTCCGTGCGAGGGCCATTGAGCGACAGCGAGACGGGAGCCAAGACCGAGGCCCTCGAAGAACTGGTGGAAGGTCAAGACGATGAGAAGGACGACGAGTTCATCGCTGGTGGCGAGGACGAGACCGATGAAAATGGAGTGGAACACAACACCGAACTCCAGGATGAAGATAGCCGTGAGCTGACCAGTGAGACCGGAGTGACTATCTCCCTCGACGTGGTCGCGGGCGTGGCCGAGGTGATCGCGTCCGCCGGGAGGGTAGCTGACGTCGTCCGGAAGTCCGGGCACCTTTCTGGGGTCGACGAAGCCGTTGCCTCTCTCTGCGTCGCCATTGTCGTGGGGGCAAACCTCGCTAGCGCTACCGTCGGTGGCCTGGTCCTTGGATTTGACAGCGACAGCGCCAGTGCCGTTCATCTCGTGGTCGTGGCTGTGGGAGAAGGCGCTGCCGTTGGTCATGTTGGAGGCAACCATCTCGATGAGGAACATGACCATGACGGTCATCAGGCCGATGGCAAAAGCCCAGTCGTAGTCTCCGAGCCTGGGAGCCAAGCACTCGTTGTGAAGAGCCTCGACACCGGGGGCGAGCAGGTGCATCCAGGCAGTGGCGATGATGACACCCGTACCGACATACTTGAAGATGAAGAAGGTCATCTTGGGGACGTGCATCCTGGTAGTCCTGGCAAGGAAGATGGGCAGGAAACCGCCGAGAAGCGAGGCGACGAGGATGATGAAGATGGAGGCGATGCGCAGCGGCATGTTGCTCACGTCAACGGCAGCAGCGCCGCAGGCGTTGGTGGTAGCATCGGTGGCATCGGAGCCAGCGTCCTGGCGGGCAGCGAGAAGCCTCGCCGCAGAAATCTGAAGAGGGTTCATGTTGGTTGTTGTTGGAGGTGAGTGCTGTGAAACAGTAAGGGAGACAAAGCGTCTTCTCTGGACAGGTAGAGACCCTTAAGGTGATGGGAGCTCAAAGGTTACACGCGTTCAAGCCTTGGCTGCACCACGACGGCGTCCTGGATGATGGGAGATTCGAACTGTGCGTTCCCGGGGGAATGGGTCAAATGCCGGCAGGGTGCGTCTGGCTTTGTGGTGGCACAGAGTGCTGAGCTTGTCGGGGAGCTGGTCGGCGGGGGTGGGAAGCAGCAAGGAACGATGAAGATCGTGTGGTGATGGATCCTCGCCTGTCTTGGCTTGCAGCTTGGCGTCTTGGTAAAGAGAAGATGAGGCTCTGAGGCGGACCTGGGCAGTATATAAAATGCGCCTCGAGCAGGGGTTCCTCCTCCGGTTGAAGAAGGGCGAGTTCGAGGTTTTCCTGGGCGGGGTGGGCGACAGACGAGAGGGTGGGTGGTGCGGCGCCGTGGTGGTGGGAAAAGAGATGTCGAGAACCCGGATGGTCGTCGGTCGCGGGGGTTCGTCGGTTTAGATGGACATAAGAGGACGGACACACCCCCCCGCTAACGGCAATGGATTCGACGAGGGAACGGGAGAACCACAAAAGGTCGGGAAACCCGGCACCCTGCAGGAGGACAGGAGCAGGATCTTATTTCGTCGTCTTGTCCGGTTTATTTCTTGTGGTTCTTCTGTCGGAGGGGGACGCGCGAGACGGACGAGACGCAGACGACGTCAAGGTGCGCGCAGCCGAGGCGCTTCTGTGTGTCCCGGGTAAAGTGGACAAGGTAGAGACGATGCAGACAATTGGAGCCGTCTTTGGGGAAGGACGAGCCGAAGTTGCTTTTTTACAGTTTGGAGATGTTTCCTGAAATGCTCAAGAATAAAGAATCGTCTCAAGATAGAGTTTCGATGGTTGGGATGTCGTCGCTCGTGGTCGGGAAAAAAAGGGCAGAGAGAGAGGAAAGGGTGCAGGGAGCTGAGCTCCATGGTGGCTGTTGCCATGCGCTCAAAATCGTATACAAAAGTGAGGACCTTGATGGCCCGACGTTGGAAGGTCCCACTTTAGCAGCTGGGTCGTTACCTCACAGGCGCGCTTCCCTTATCAGCAGAGAAGCGAAGCGCAGCGCAGCGCAAACGCATGGAACAGACCAAGACACCGGTCGAGACACCACTCCCTGCAGCGCATGCCCGAAAACAGCAGGACATTGTTTATTTTTCCCATCGATGCTCTAAATTACGTCCTCGGTCCTGTCACCACATTCAGTAGGAAAACAGGGGAAATAAAAGAACAACAAGATAAACTCTCTTTTTATCAGCGCATCCCTTTCCTCGTCGGCCCCCTCAAAAACTGGACAACACGGTTCAAGTCTCCACGAGTCCCAGAAGCAACTGTGCAGCACCCGTGTGGTAGGAGCATCAGCCTTGAAACTGGCTCCATCCCTGCTCCCAGGCACTAGCTCCGCCGCGCCCGCCCCACCGTCCGTCGCCATTCAGATTTTTTGCACCAGAATATGCCCGCTCTGATTGGCCCGAGAGCTTGGCCATCAAGGTTCTCCGCACTAGCTTAACCATCAAGGTCCTCACTCTTCTCATTATTTCCCGCGCAAGGTGTGTCATGCCTGGGTCACTCGCCCGACGACAGACAACCTACCTCCCCTCATGACTTTACACTCTGACTGGTGGTGTCTCTGCTGATTGCGACTTGACGCTGCTACCGACTGGCTGCATGAAGGATAGAGCTGCGATGGCGGCGCACTAGATATCAAGTCCATCTGTGTCGGTCACTCCGCGGACTTGTGGTATTACGGGATGTTATGTTCAGGTGCTTTCTTTATCGTTGCGATGGACGATTCAGGAGCTGTGGTGCTTTTGACTCGACGCGGGTCTACATTATCTATACACAAAATACCATTCGCCCAGTTTGGCAGATGTTCCTTGTACTTGTCAGGCCAGGTACATGGTCCTGCCGGACTGATGAAGCAGTCTGAGCAGTCCAAGACCACCATTCACGGCCCCGTCAAGCATGCACCACCCTATGCATGCACGCAATAACCCCCAGCAGTGTCCAAGCCCTCTCTATCCAGAACCAACGAGCCATCTTCAAGTCGTAGAACCAACTCATCGCCAAGGAAGCTTGGCAGTCAGCTCCATCCACGAACCAAGCTTTAGCCAAGCCGGCCGCCTCCTCCACTGAAGGGCCTCCCATGCATGGCTTGGCTGAGGACATGGGAGGAGGAATCTCGAGAAATGAACCCTCCATATTGCTGCGCAAAACGAATGGAGACTCTGTTGATGAGGAACTTTTGACCCTGGTCTCTGGGCGTAGCCAGCCAACCAACCATATGCACACCCCCTAACCGTGAGGCACGACGTGGGCGACGACCGTCGTATCCCTTTCCATTCCAGTTCATGCAACCACAATATCTCCTCCCGCACGCCGTCTGCTGCAGCGGCGTCACTTCGGTTTGCGCCCTGCAGACCCATACTGCTGGATTGGTAGACCGAGGTCGTGTCGGGGATTGAGACCGCTGCGTCGGAGCTCATGTCGTATCGGGCAATAATCTCATCTCGTCGTTACATCTCATCAGTTCAAGCTGCATACTGAGTGGGCGCCGCTCTCATGATGAAAACTGGATTTCCACGCCCAGGGTCCTGAACGGCGAGTCCAGCTTGCGCAGGTCAATCGCGCTGCCGAGGCTGAACAGCAGCGACTTCACCCTGCCCTCCCACAGCACCCCAATCTTCATGTGCTGGTCGATCCGCGCCTTGATGACGCTGGCGTACTCGTCGTCCACGGCACCCGCACCCGGTGCCGCTCCCGGCATCGTCCTCGTCGTCCCATCATCCACCGCCGCAGGATCGTCCAATCTCCACTCCATCTTCGCCTGAAAGCTGCGTTCCCTCGGCTTCTCCTTCCGCTTCTCCTCTACAACCAGCCTCGGCTTCACCTCGGGCGCCGCCGGCGGCGGAGGGTCATCCAGCCGCCACTCCATCTTCGCCTGAAAACTCCGCTCCTTCTTCAGGAAATTTTCCGCCGAAAGCGCGGGGTGCTGCTGCTGCTGCTGGTCGAGATCGCTGCGCAGCAGGTTCTTGCGCCACAGCTCCATGCCCACGGACCAGTCGCTCTCGTAGCTGTACACATTAAAGTCCATCCTTGTCGCGAGGCTGCAGTGCCGGCCCGCCACGACGGCGTAGCTCGCGCTGATGTTGCCCATGAGCGGGTTCAGCGTCAGCGTCGCCGTGAGCGGCGTCCCGCGGTGCTCCGGCAGCGTCGCGAAGCGCCCGCCGAGGCTGACGCCGCCCGACTTGTTCAGCGTGCCGTAGTAAATCTCCCCGCCGGCGCTGAAGCGGCCGTAGATGCGCTCCTTTGCGTCCTCGGCCCCGGGCTTGCCGTTCGCAGGCCGTGTCGCCGGTGCCGGAGGCGGCGGTGGTGGTGGTACGTCCTCCGCGTCGCCTCCAAAGTTGTACACGCCCCTGAAGCCCAGCAGCCCGCCGTCGGACGAGGCCAGGCCTTCCACCGCATACCGCCCGACGTCGTACTGCGCCAGGCCCAGCAGCGTGCCGCCGTTGCGCAGGTTCTTGCTCGAGACGGCGCTGAGCTGGAGCTGCAGCGCGGGGGACACGCGCTTGACGACGAGGGCTTCGAGGAGCGACTCGGGCAGGTAGAGGCGGCCGTAGAGCAGCGACGCGGCGGCGGGGCTGAGGAGCGGGTATGGAGTGGCTGCAGGCAGGCGTCGGGGGAGGTCGACGAGCGGGCGGTAGGAGCGGAGGAGCGCCGGCAGGGGAACCGCGTCGGACTGCGGGGTGAGGCTCGCGCGGAGGGGCACGGAGGAGTAGAGGTAAGAGATGGAGCCGTCGACGACGCCCACGGAGCCGAGCTGGTACGAGGTCGCGTAGTGGGGGGTTGCGAGGGACGAGAGGGTGAGGCGCAGGCCCTGGGGTGTCGGGAAGTTGAGGAGAGCTGGAGGGTGGCTCAAGTCAGCCTAATTGAGCCCAAAAGCAGCAGCAGCGGGCAGGTTGACGGAGAGGACGCACCATCGGCGGTCGAGTTGAGCGACGAGTAGGAGTTGTCGCGGTTCCAGCCGGTAGCCTCGTAAAAGGCACCCTGGACGTAGTTCATGAACTCGCGCATGGTGGGCGGATGTGCCGTGTTGCTTCGCGGAGCAACGTGCTCTTTGGTACTATTGCGTCTGTGACATTTGCTGTGTTGCGTGGGTGAAACGCGAGGATTGGGACACCGAAAAGCTGGAAGGCTGTGATGGTTTGACTTTGCCAATTGCAGTGTTGTCATGGGTGGGGCTGGCTTGTGACGGCATTGGGAGGTTACGTAATCCACGTCGCCGACGAATGCCGCCTCTTGAGTCTTGAACAGTTCAAGGTCTTCTGGCCGTGATTTGGGTATTTCGCTGCCCACAAGCGTCTGGTTCGTCTGAAACCATACCTGGATGAGTTCTTTGTGTTTTCTGTTTATAATTATATCAAATTTGGTCATTTTCATGCATGCTTTAATGTGGTATGATTTTAGACATTCATTATTTTCCCAACTTATTTCTCATGACACGTCACGCTTCCACGGAGGTTATGAACATCATCTTAAACATTCAACACACATCTAAGGACACGAAACGCTTGTGAAACCGATTAACATATAACTTTTGAGAGTCATATCATGAAATGATCATTGCACTGCTTACGATATGACCTTATCCGCCAACAATACTCACAGCCATATTGCCAGCATACAACCCCAAAACTAACATGAGCCCAACGAATGTGATGTCAAAGTCGTGCTGTATTCCGACAATTATTGACTACTGAATGATAATCTAGTATGCTCTAACCACAAAGAAAATCCGAATAGAAGGCTTCAAAAAATGCTGCTTTTTTCTTTGTTTCATCGAAGAGATGGGGATATCACCAAACCACCCTCCTAGGCTCCTCGCTCCACTCCGCCTCGCCCTCGCGCCTCACCCATAACTCGTTATACCTCTGCCCGCTGTCGTCCCGGTAGCACTCCGACCATACCTTGCCCGATATCCGCGCGTGGCGGGGCACGTCGCCCTCGCTGCGCACCACCACCTCCTCCGCCGCCTCCGCCGCCGCCGCCGCCTCCCTCAACGCACCCTCCTCAATCTTGACAATCTCCTCCGCGAGCGCCGCGCACGCGAGGCTATCATACACAGCCTCCCGGCGCGGCCACCGCTTCAGCAGCGCGATCGCCCTTCGTCGGATGTCCGGGTTGCGGCACTTGACCGCCGTGTGGTACAGGCACGAGATGGCGCCCATATCCACGCTGAATCGCCACTGCGGGATCTCCGTCGTCTCGATCAGCCGCTCCGCGAGCCCGATCTGGTACTCAAACTGCGGCACCATCGTGTCGTAGAAGTTCTCGCCCTCGGTGGTGTTGTTCTCGCCGAGGAAGAGCAGCGTCGCGCCAATGTGCCACAACCTCAGAATGTCCGCGCGCGGGTCCGCCGACTCCTCGGGGTGGCGCGCGAGGTACTCGTTCAGCGCGTCCTCCCAGCGCCGCAGCGAGCCCAGCGGGTCCTTCTGCATCGTCGTCGTGTCGCCGTAGAAGTCCGTCGTGTAGTACGTGATGAACTCGGGGAAGATGTACGCGAGCAGCAGCACCAGCCCGTCGCGCGCCTCGGTCAGCGTCGCGAAGGGGCCAAAGTGCCCGTCCTCCGCGGAGACGACCTGCACGGGGATCGTCGGCGGCGACGGCAGCGAGCGCGTGTGCAGCGCCATGGTGATGAAGATGGGCTTGAGCGCCTTCTGGATGAAGCGGCCCTCGGGCGAGTCGACGGGGGTCATGCCGACGCGCTCGGCGGGCGCGAGCGGGGCCGTGTCGGAGAGCCACATGGCCATGGTGTTGAGGCTCGTCTGCAGGTGGATGTTGGCGTCGGCCTCGGTGCCGCGCAGCCAGTCGAAGGCGATACACAGCGCGGCGCAGGTGAGGGTGACGTGCAGGTCGGTCCACTGGCGGGCGTGGATGTGGCGCTTGAACAGGTGCAGGGCCTTGGTGTACTCCTCGTCGGCGCGGCGGCACAGCATGACGGCGTCCGGGTCGGGCTGCCTGGCGACGACGTCGTTGCGGTAGCCCTCGTGGCGGGCGCCGAGGGCGACGAGGATCTGCGCGACGCACGGCTCGGCGTGCGCCAGCTGGAGGACGGTGACGGCCCAGAAGTCGTTGTCGAAGTAGCCGGCGAACTGCCGCGCGGACTCGGTCTGGAAGTACTTGAAGGCGCGCTCCGTCTTCTGGGTGAGCTTGATGGCGGAGGTGGTGAGGGCCGGGCGCAGGGCGACGGTGAGGTGCTGCTGCTGCTCGGCCGCCGGTCGCAGGGGCACGTTTGCCGCTGCTGCGCCGGCGCCGCCGCGGCGAGGCGGGTCGGGCCAGGTGCAGCCCGATTGATGTCTGATGCAGTTGTTGCACTTTGGCTTGGTCTCGTCACATTTCACACGCCGCGTGCTGTTGGTCGCGAGAACGTCACAAAGTCAGCCTTTGCCATTGCTGAAGTGTCTGCGCGCTCCATGTCTTTTCTCTTCTCTCTTTTTCTGTCATTTCACACCCGTGCCGCGTTGCCCGGAATCTCCGCCCATCGCAACTCAGAAACATGAAAAAGTGATAAAAATCCAGGGGGGTTGCAGCCGCAGCGGGCCTGTCGGGGGAAAACACCACAGAGAAATGAGAGAAAAAGTTAGAAGGTACACGGCGCGCGCGCGCGTGTGCGGGCGCGATGTGGCGACTCGACAGAAAGGAGCTTACCGGCAGGTCAAGCAGCCCTCTCGAGAGCGCGGAGTCGACTTCCTCTTCCTCGGGGGCGGCTTCTGCTGGAGCGATGGGGCGGCATCACGGGCGTTGTTCGTGGTGATGGTGATGGTGGTGGTGGAGGACGTCGCGGGCGGTTGGCTGTTGGCCATGATGGTAGCCGGCTGCGGTGCGCGCGCGCAGGAGGGGGGGGGACCGTGCAGTGAAACATGAAAACCCACTGGGACTACCATAGATAGAGATCTCGCACTACCTAGGTACGGACACGCAGCCAGATCTGTCTCTCCCCTCTTTCAGCTTCGGGCGTGGCTAGCTTGTGAGAAAGGATCGAGGAGGGGGCCGGGCGAGATGTGACAGGAGCACCGCCGCTCCACTAATGACGCGGGAGAAAAGAAAAGAAAAGAAAAGAGGAAAGGGGGATTCTTGTTTTAAATTGTCAAGGGGGAGAGGTTGGTTGCGAGCGGCGGGCGACTAGTAGGCGAGACCCTTCGAAGGCGTGGGAAGGGGGGGGAACGGGCAGTTTTGGGGGTTTGAGGGGGGAAACGAGAGCCCGGATTGCGGATGACCCCGGGCTGCCGGCCAAGCCATTCCCCGGCCCCGCACTCCGTGCCATGCGGACCAATTAACGGCGCCCGCTGCCATCGACCCGGCCCACAGTCGCCTGAGGAGAACAGGGTTGCCATTGGCCCGTTGCCCGCGCGGTGCGCCAGTTTTTGCAGCGCTCGGCCACCAACGGCGCTCATGACAATTTCCCCTTATTGGGAGTCTTTCTGCAGAGACTGCGAAAGATATCGCGCGGGCTGGCGGGCGGCCCGCTTGCTGCACGGGTCTGTTGGTTCTTATCGCGTGTCACTTGTCAGTTGTCGGGCAGCAAACATCAGATGCAGTGTTTCGATCTCGGGAGGGTGGGGGCCGGCAGTCGACGGTAGTGTGCGTCTGCGGCGTCGACTGGAGACTTGTCGGGCTACCTATTACCTAACCCCGCGATGCAAGCTTCGTGGGGTCCTTTTCGCGAGGTTGTTGACACGGAAACCAGCCAACACTCACAAATTTCCAGCAACGAGGATTGCTTTGACTATGTAGAGAGAACACGTGTTGAGTCCGATTTGGACTCGCAACAGTGGTTCTGTACGCATTGGGTAAGTGATCGAGTCGTTCAAGTCTCTGAACGGCAACTCGGCGGGGCCGTGGACATGCTTGCTCGGGAGTCGGGCGGATCTCCAAAGCCCTACCAGCCCACTGATGGACTCTGTAGACACGATTCAGGAGACGTTACATGAATCCGCTCTGGATCGCGTTTGAATCGTGAGCATTGGTGGTTCGACTATTGCAACTGCGTAGCTTCAACGGTAGAGCATAATACTGTTAATATTAAGACAGAGGTTCGATTCAGACATTGTGGTCCGGGTTGCGAAGACAAGGAAGCTGAGTTGACAACAGAACATTCTGAGAGAAAAAAAGTCTTTAGCACGTCCCCCAAGCAATCTTACTCCCTCTCATCACCCTCGACCGCAAAGTCCAACGAGTCAATATCCAACTCCTCCTTCCTCCTGCGAAACATAATCACAGTCTTCGGGTTGATCTGCCTCGCGACCCCCACCACGAACGGGTCCGCGGTGTTGCCGGGCGCCAGCTTCCAGTCGTACTTGAGCAGCAGATGGCACAGCGCCACCTTGACCTCGTTCGACGCGAAGAACCGCCCCGGGCACGCGTGCTGCCCGTGGCCGAACGCCAGGTGCTCCGGGCTCGTCGTCACCAGCTGCGCCTTGTGCATCTTGCCGGGCTCCTCGCGCATGCGCCGGAACCGGTAGATGTCGTACGTGTCCACATCCTCGCCGTGGATCTTGGGGTCTTTCATTGCGGACGCGTCGACGACCACGCGCTCGCCGCGCCGAATCGTGATGCCTTCGTCGAGGGTGATGTCCTTGGTTGCGAGGCGGCGCATTTGGACTAAATAAATGCTGTCAGTCTTCGTCTTCGGAACCATGAAACGGGAGGAGCTTACACATTGAGTTCGGCTTCATCCGCTGCGTCTCCTTCAGCGCGCTGTCCATCAGCTTCATATTATACAGCGCCGTCTTCCTCCACCCCTCCGCCTTCAACACCTGTACAACCTCCTCGCGCAGCGGCGTGATCAGCTCTGGCTGGTTCGCAAGGAACAGCATCGTCTGCGCCAACAGATCCGTGGTCGTATGAATCGCCGCAAAGCTCAGCGTCAACTTCCCAAACTCATCAGTTCAAGATCCAACACCCAAGATCGATCACAAGACGTACCTGGAACACAGCCGCGTCATACGCCTGCCCTTTGCACTCCATCTCCGCCCACTCGATCGCGTCGTTGTAGCTCGGCGCCTCCTCCCCCTTGGCCGCGGCCTCGCGCTTGGCGGCGCGCCGCTGCTCGATCACGCCGCTGATGAGCGCGCGCGCCTGCGCCAGGTGCTGCCGCACAAGGCGGCAGTCCGGGAGGAACCAGTGCACCAGGGGCCGCAGGGGCCGGGGCACGAAGGTGAGCTTCATCGCGGCCATGAAGGAGATGACGGTGTAGTCCTTGGTGACGCGCAGCCAGGCCTCGTTGCGGCAGAGCTCGTCGCCGAGGAAGACGCGCGAGGAGAGGCGCGCGACGAGGTCGAGGATTGCGTCTTTGGCGGGGATTGAGCGCCATTCTTTCGGGGAGTTGTTAGATCAAGTGACGGGGGGGAGGAGAAGGGTTGTGGGTTGCGGTTGAGGGGACGTACCCGGCGATTCGCCAAAGATGTGACTTGCTGCAAAGGCTGTTTCGAGTGATAGTGGTTCGGTAACTGTGTCTGAAAGTCCGTCTAGTCAGCTTGAGTGCACGTACGACAGTTAAAGTCCACGTACTGAGGTACTTCGTAAGCTGCTTCCTCGCCACATTCTGCAAGATCTGAGAGTCGTGGTCAACGAAGCCAAAGGGCTCGAAACCCGCAATCCCATAATGAAAGTCCTACGAGACATGCGTTAGTCTATCAAGATACTTGACAATCAACCAACAACGCATCTTGAAATAGCTGCATGATGCACAACGACCCGAAAAGTACGTACCGCCTTAATGAACGCCCCAAAGTTCAAGTCATCCTCATTCCGGATACTATGAGCAAACCGCGGAGGCAACACCGTCAAATCGCCGTTCTCCGACAACACCTTGAACGGCTTGTCCGCAACCGCGGACTTCGCCTTGTCAAGAACGCTCATCCCCGTCTTCAGGAAGTCCATTCTTGCCAGCGGCCGGGGGCGGAGCCATGTCGGCGGATCGACGAAGGGGATGCTGTTGTCCCGTTTCGCAAGTTTGAAGGCGACGGATGTGACGAGGACCACGAGGAAGGCGGTGATAATGTAGCCGTGCGGTCGCAGTTCGAGGCCCAGCGGGAGGGCGGTGTCAGTCCACGAGGATGGATGGGCTACGGGCGATGAGGATGCCATCTTTGATGTTTGATGGTGGCGTTGGTGTAAGTGATGCTGGATTTGGTGAAGGTGGAAAGGTTGTTGAATGGATTATGTGAGGAATGAGTAAGAAGACCTTGGCTGTTTGAGAGGGGTTCTCTCCTTTTTTAAGGATACTGAAAGTCGACTTCAGTTCTTGCTGGCGTGCACAACCGTGATGGGCGTCATTCTCACGGAAGCCTGTCACTCCGAGATATGCTGTAAAGACTGCATTAGCAGACGGATTTCGGGCAATAGGACTAGTAACGCTTTCTGTGGGTAGCATCGTCGACAGTGAGACCCTGTTTGTGATACGTCACTCACGAGCAGCTGTATCATGGTCCAGCGATACCCCCACCTCATGTTCGGATGACAGGCATTGACATGAGCAGTATCTTTGAGATGATTGGCTACGCCCCTCAGAGTGTACCAAATCAGGCATGTGGACGTTCACCGGCCTTGGTGGAACGTGCATGCTTCCAGCTACGACATCCTCAGATGTCATGGTTGAGGGCGAAGGATGAACGGAGTGCGGCACCAAAGCAACTGCCGGCGGGAGATCACCTACGACGTTGCGTCATCCAACAACTCGATTGGATGCTTGGACTGCAAAGTATCACCGCGTTTTACGAAAAAAGCAAATCCAATGGATTTCGGCTTTTCAACCGCGTCGGGTTTTCGCTTCTCATGCATCGGAGTTTCATTCTCAAGATATCGGGGTTTCAACCGTGATACATCGGGCTTTCAACTCCCATCCATCGGATTTTCAACCACCCCCAACATCGGGATTCCGAAGTTCATTTAAGCACCGGTGTGGAGAGCATGCACAAACGCGCCAAGCCAAGGCAGATCTGAGGCGCCGCGCATGCCCCTAACCCATCTGCGGGCTGCGGATCTCGTTATCGTATAAGATTTACGAGCCTAGATTTGCACAAGAACGAGTCAGGCGCAGAACTGTAAAAACCCTCCATCTCTCCCACACACATTTATCCAGCGTTGATGAACTTGTGGCTATGAAACTCAGCCTAGTGGAGAAACCTTCGCCTCCGCGGTGAACAAGGTCTCAACGCACTTCTTGGTACGCGCTGCTGTCGTTTCTATTGGTTAAGTAGCGGGTACCCCCGTCAACGGGACGGCAATTACGACCGTCCCGGGGTGCGGCAAGGAGCCGTCGGAAAGTTTGTCTTGACGTCGCGCACCGGGGGAGGAGGGGATAAGTAATGGACGCGGTCATCAGTACCTACGAGTCTACATTCTACTTGCTATCAAAAATCAGCACCGCGACAACAACTTTCTTTTCATTGACAATCAATAGACACGGCAGTGGAAGTTATCTGGAATTGAAGAGAACTGCGTTTGGCAAGAGAGCAATTTGGATTCCTCCGCGGAAAGGGCGGGCTATTGACTTCCGGAATGGCGAAGTGCACAGAACATCCGCTTAACGTGCCCAGTAAGCTACCCACAGGGGATGTTGTCTTCACAGAAGGAGCATATCTAACGCGTCGCCTTCAAAGTTGTCGAGCAGAAGCTCACGAGCGGCATCCGCGTCCACGGTCTCCTCCTCTCCCTCTCAACCTCCGCAACTATCGTAGCATGCTGCCTCACAGCCTGGCAGGTCTTCCAACACGCCAGACACTACACGAAACCAAGCGAACAGAAGCAGTAAGATCCCCAGGCAGCCGCGTGTAAATTCACATCTGACACCACTACTCCCCTCAGAATCATCCGCATCCTCTTGATGGTCCCAATCTACGCCATCGCCTGCACCCTCAGCATCGAGTTCTACAAGCAGCACGTCTACCTCGCCAGCATCTACGAGTTCTACGAGTCCCTCGTCATCGCGGCCTTCTTCCTGCTGCTGTGCCAGCTCTTGCACCCGGATCCCACCACGCTCCGAAGGGCGTTCTCCCTGGTCGAGCCGAAGCCGTGGATCCATCCGATACGGTTCCTGGTGGTACACATCGGGCGCCGAAAAGATCGGAGCGTGGACGGGTTGAAGTGGTTCAACGTACGTTTTGCGATTGGGTCTATTGTGCGGGGTACAGGCTGACTTTAGCAAGACTATCTGGTTCTGCGTCTTCCAATTCTGTATAGTCAAGTTCCTCGGCGCTCTTGTCAAGTGCATCACTGAAGCTGCTGATATGTACTGCGAGGAGTCGAGCAGTGCCAGTCATGCGAAGATTTGGGTATGTTCACATCCCCCGCAAAGACACAATGTGACTACATTGCTAACTGTTAAGCAAAGGTTATGGTCATTGAAATTTTGTCACTGGTGACTGCCATGATGTGTCTCCTTCAATTCTACCAGCAGACCAAAAAGGAGCTTGAGACCCACCAACCTCTGTTGAAATTCCTCGCCATCAAGTTGGTGGTGTTTCTCTTTTACGTCCAGACCGTGAGTCACACACCTTCAAACAGCTCCGCGCTGCATCCTCCCGATTATTGTCACTGACCGCCCTGATAGTTCATCTTCAGCTTCCTAATGAAGGAAGACGGCCCAATCAAACCCACAGCGACGATATCCTACCCGTCCTGGGCCGTCGGGATCCCCAACACAATCCTCTGCTTCGAAATGGCAGCCGTCTCCATCCTGCACATCTTCGCATACCCCCACGAACCATACCGCGCCCGAACCGATACGAAAGACGACTCCCACAGCGAGGGCAGCGCGGTACGCGAAAACGACCAACACCCCCTCCACCAAGTTTTAGTGACGCGCAGCCACGACGGCTGGGCCCGCCAGCACGATGAGCCCGTATGGGACGGGACGCAGAGTACACCAGACACACGCGCCCCCGCTGCCGGATTCAAGTGGGAGGCGCTGGTGGACGCGCTCAACTTTGTTGACGTTGTGTTTGCCGTGGTAACTGCGTCGCGGTGGCTGGTGGCGGAGCGACGGAAGGATGCGGCGCGGGCTGCGGCGGCGGTGGAGGACGAATGTGACTACCCGTACGGTGCTGGGGATGTAAGGAGAAGAAAGACGGAAGATCTCTCGCAGGCGTTGGATAGAGCTCAGGCGCAAACGTCCTCCACGCGGTTGGGATGATAGCGTTCTCATGAATCGACAGGAGCAAGTCAGAGAACCTGAAACGAGGACTTTTCACAACAAACGACAGCCGCCAACTGGTCGAAAAAGTAGAAATGCTTTTTATTTTGAACCATATGAATAGAATCGAACTTTTGTTTTACTTCCCCCAGGCCGCTTTTCATGAGGCAGCCCACGCCGCGACCTTTTTGAAAATGAGCTCGCCGTCCTCCTTGCTGTCATTCATCTGCGCAAAGTAGCGCTGCAGGTCCTCCTCCGTCGGCAGCGTCTGCCGGTAGTACGCCACGTCGTGGTCGAACAGTTGCCGCGCGAGCTCGCCCTGGATCTCCGGGTGACCCTGCATCGACAGCACGAGCCCCGAGTCCGCGAAGAGGATCTCGTTGTCGGGGGCCAGTGGCCTGAAGCCCGCGGGGACGTCCTTGACGAAGCGCTTGTGGAACTTTGTGATTTTCTGGAGGGGTGGCGGTGCGGGTTAGCGCGCTCGTGCGTGGAGGGTGATCGGGTTTGGTGGTAACTTACGATGGAGTCTTTGCCGAAGAGGGCTTGTCCGTCTTGGTTGAGAGGGAGCTCCTCGACGCCGACCTGTCAGAGACACATTGTTAGTCCCGGGTCCAAAAGTTTTACGTTTTGAACATGGAGAATGGCGTGAACGTACCCTGGGGAACTCAAAGCTGCCAATAGACCCAGACAACGCGGTAGCAATAGCCTGGTGACCCCAGCACACTCCCATAAGCTTCGTCCTGGTGATGGGCTGCGTCGAGACGACCCCGCGGATCCACTCGAGCACGGCGTTGACCCAGGGCTCGTAGCACGAGGGGGCCTGGCACAGGTTACTCAGGCCGCCGGTGATGATGATGAGGTCGTAGTTGGCGGGCTCGGGGAGGTCTCTGATGTCCGCCATGGGCTGGTAGGCGTCGACGAGGGCGTCCGGGACGTGGCGGCGGATGTTGTCGCGGAAGGACTGGACCATGCCCCGGTGCTTGGGCTCCTCCAGGTCGTACGCCTTGACGATGGCGACGCGCAGGGGTGTTGGCATGGAACCCATTGTAAAGATGGCTGGTGGGAGTGGGTGATCTTGGTGAAGGGTTGTTGTTGTGTAAGTGGTTTGTAACAGCTTCAACGGGCGATTCCAAGACTTGACGAGAGGTTGAAACAAGGAAGAGAGACGAGTAGAGCCACGGTAACTGAACGATGGTGGTGTGCAGACGCCGTCTCTTATGCCACACGGACGAGGTGGGTCTCACGGTGGTAGATAAGCTGAGAGCTGTCTCCGCAACGGCCTCCGGCTAACATCGGGGCGTCCACATTATCTCCGGCAATCGGTCACTTGGGTTGAGGCTAGTCATGAGGCCCCCGGGGAGCACCGTCCCCCTTGGAGATATTACTAATGAAATTAGAGCGTTGCGAGAGTTGTTGGCGTCCCGAAGCCCCGTCCACCGCTCCGGGCGATTTCGGAGTGCGAGGGGCAGAGGCAGGTTGAGGGGAAAATGGATCGCGGCAGTCAGGAAGACAGCCAACCGCCTGCTGCAACTTTCAAACACGGATGTTTCCACGTGAATCCATGGTCATGCTGACCGTCTCTCATCCCCTCTTGCGGACGTGGATCTTGAGTGCTCGCCCCCAGGTTGGGCACCTCACTTGGTGCACCCGTCAATCACGCCCTGCATAAAACTCACGCCTCCCCCCCTGCACTTCCTCCTCCCCCCAAAAAGCATCATCAGCCGCCACGAGCCAAACAGAATGTCAGCAAACGCGGTTATCTTATCTCTCGATATCAAATCCCGCCAGCGGTGGACCTGGGCAGCCGTTTTCCCCAGACTTTCTTATACGTACCTTTAACACGGGCGCGGCTGGACCGCGAATCACAGCACGCACTCCGATAAGGGTCGCCCGATGGCCCGTCCGAACTTCAGGATTGGGCGCAGGACCCGCCGGAAATGGCGGCCGCTGCGTGAGCGTGTAGGGTCTTATTTCCTGATCCGGAAGGGTTTGCCTGCGCGCCGCCCCGCTCCGAGCGCACTGAAGAGGCCGGGGGCGGGAGGGCGTCTGCCCACGTGTGAGTGCAGCACCCGGCCGATGTTGCCATTGCAAGTTGCGATCGCGAGAGAGAAAATCAAATAGAAATTCCAGCTTACCCCTCCCCTTCGCACTCGCAATTTCGAGGTGGCTTGCACCCGAGGGGACACAGGACTCCATCTGAGGTGCTTTCTCCGACTCAGGAGCACCAGGACGCTCGGATGGCCCCTTTCGCCCACACAGTGCTGGCAGAAGCCCCCCCGGACAACGCTTGGAGGCTTATTCTTGTTACCCCCATTTTACCTAAGGGATTCCAGCGCAGACAGCGAAAAAGCCGCCGACAGAGGCCACATGATGCTTCAAACCCGTCCACGACATCAGCACATGAGTTGCGTCCGCCATGAGAAAAGTTTTTCTCCTCTGCGACTCCTCTTCCTCACCGTCCTGCCGCATCATCCCTTTAATTTATGACTCTTCCGTGAGTTTCCGAATGATCCCCCAGCTCCATCCGCAGCACTGCCCCTCAGCCAACTCAGCCAACTGGACGAAGCATACGACTCCATGTGCATCCTCGGTGTTCTCTCCATGAGCCAGCCGTGGATGGAGTTCTGCTCCAACTCGCAAAGTCGTCGTCAGTTGAGAAACACTGACAACCTTTCGCCGACCGGGGCCCCGTCTGCGGACCCATGCACATGCTACCCTGCTGCAGAACCTGAAAGCTTCTTCCAAGCTTTTTTTCTTCGGCAAGCCGTCTCAACACAGCACCTCTCTGCTGACCCCAACCACGTTGCATGGGCCCTTTTCGAAACCCCCCACATCCCCCGCAACCTTTCGCAGAGCCGCTCGTTATTGGACTTCCCGCAACGCGCAATTGCGGTCTGTTCAATTGGGTGAGCTGGAGGACAGAGTTGACCAGCCAATCACATCTTCGCTTCCGTGGCTCAGTTGGAAGAGCGTTTGTGACTCTGGCCCAGGTGGAGATATCCAAAGGTCGCAAGTTCGAGCCTTGCCGGGAGCACTGTGGTTCCTTTTTGATGTGCATCTTCGTCTGTTCGCTTCCGAGGATGAAGTCAAGTCTAATCGAAGAGCTCAGTTGGATTAGTCAAGGCAACCGACTTGGATTGATGAGACTTTCGCGATAAGATTCATTGACAATAATCGCGACATCAATATCTCACATACGCAGACTGAGGAAAAAAAGCCCGATTGCTTAGTGAACAGTCAGGGGTCCTCTTGCGATTGAGTTGCACGCAGACCTTGAGGCTTCAAGACTTCATTCGCTCAGCAGGTCCGATCTTGCGTTTTCCACCACGATTGACAGATGATAGTGGCAGGCTTGAACACGATACTGACCGTGGGACAGAAACCTCTCCATGCCGTAGATTCGATGTGGACTACCGCTTTTCAACCTCGCTCGCTTCTGTGCTCAACAGCTCGGAAGTCGGGCCAGGATGCCAATCACCACGAAACTCTTTCTCGACCGAGAATTCAACTACTATAAGAAAAAGATGATAACCCATAATCTTTGTCCTCATACCCACAACCGTCTCAGAAACAGCATCATTCGGTTGTAATCAGCTACCCACCTCACCTCTCAAGATGAAGTCCGTCAGTGTTACTGCACTTTCTTGCCAGTAAGACATTCCTGACTGTCTGAATCGAACCTCAGCCGAAATAATACACACCTGGTGCCATGGTCAAAAGATATGGTGATTACGGCTTGATATGCCTTTGCAGGAATGATCAGCGAAAAGCCATAAAACCTATGAAGATTCACATCCGGTGCTGAGGGTGATTGCATGAGAAAAGAACGTGTCTGTTGTCCTTAATCTGAAACCAGCATCTCATTGACCAACTATGCCAGAGACCTAGTAACTAGCTAGAAGGAATAAGAGTGTGACAACGTCAAAAGAAGGTACTTTCTCATCTAGATTCCATTTCACGGCCAAACCAACCTTTTTTGATGAAGAAGATGACACTAGTTTTAAGAGGGCAGTTGAAAGACACGAGAGATGCTAACCAAACGATCGAGGTTTTGGGGAGCTCGCGAGTGCCTCTCTTCGTTGAGCTACAGATGCGCTGTTGATTCAATGTCATTCTTCGAATTTTCTTGAGACTCCAATCAGTTTTCTTCCCAAATCCTCGGCAAAGCTTATAAGGTAGGCTGAACCTGAAAGATGGATGTAATCTACTTCTTGGGGTAGCGAGACGTTGCTTTAATATACAACGCGGCATGGTAACGATCCCTCTGAGTATGTGGTGCATGGTTGCCTCATAGACTATTCTAATAGAGATGCAAGATCAGCTACGTCGAGGGCCCCCGTTTCTGCATCGTACAGGATGAGAATATTCAGGCCGAAGGCGGAAGGTGGTAAAAGTCGCCCCCGGCCATTGGAACTGTTTACCGCTCATGTGATCTGGGCCAGTTCGCCTTATCAAATGCCAGTCTCTGCTAGTTTTCAATTGCACGACGACGCGTTTGGTTCGTGCAATTGAAAACTAGCAGAGACTGGCATTTGATATATTCCTTCGAGACTTCATGGACATGTGGGATCAGGTTGGTGTCAGTGACACGTGCATCTGAATTAGAGTCCATCTCTCTACCATACACGCTGGCTTTAAGTCGGTGCTCAAACTCAAAATGAGCGTTAAAACAACTAGCACATGTATATCACCCCTGGGAGTAGATTGCCCGCTCTCATGGGGAACCTGATGAATCCCTGAGGGCAACGGTCAATTGGCTGAGCATGAGCGAGAGCATACCCTTCATTTGATTGAACCTGCATTGCACAATGCTAAAGCATGGCTTACGAACAAGATAGATGAGACTTTTGCGTTTCGAACATCACCGCGAGCCTTGCTGTTTTTTTTTTTTTTTTTTTTTTTTTTTTG